AAAACCAAATACTCATCAATGTTTGGATTCTTCAATCCCATCAAATCAAATACTCGTCATTGTTTGAATTCACAAACCTGTCCACTTAAGTCCAGCAAATCAGGTATTTACCATATTCCACCACTTCCTGTATTTTTTTAGTATCTGAGAAACTGTCAAGAAGATAATGGTCTTTCTTCTTTCCTTCCTCAACAGGAATATTGAGACAGCAACCCTGACGCAGCAGATTGACATGCTGAATAGCCAGATTGAACGTGAAGAGGAGAAAGCCAGGGACTTGGAGCATAAATCCAAGTAAGAAAGCAATAATCTCTGAGTCTTCCGCCGCTCTTTTTCATTTATCTTGCCCTCTTGTCTAAATTTTTTTTCATTCTATATTCATTGTCCTCCAAAGAGTTGTACCAATGTCACCTAACCCCTTTGCTTCTTTAGATTCTAAATTACCTGTGTCTTCCCAATGGTCTTTCTTAACATACTGACTGTTTTCAAGATCTAAAATCGTTGCATGGGATTGATAAATAGTTCTCATTTCCTTGGTAGAAAATTTTCCTTCTGAGTAGGCATTTTCCTGTTTCAACCACAGTATCTTTTTTAGCTTATAGCCAAAAGATAACAAAAAAATAAAAAGCAAGTTGTTTGTCAATTGGTCACTGATTTGGAAATGGGCCCAGGTTTCCATATTCTACATAGTTAGAAATCTTAACTTGCGAATATACATCATTTTTATATACATCCATTATCAACCATTGAGACAAAAGGACTACTATCCTACTGTATAAGCTCTTATTTGGATACTTGTTCATTTCGTATGTTTAGACAGTGTTACAACTGAAACCAAATTAACTATTCTGTCCCCTGCTGCCACAGGGTTTTAGAAAGAAATTACCATTGAAAAGGAATGACAAATTATTACATAATTCTCAACAGGAACCTGAACAGTTCATATCTTTGTTTTCAAGGTTTGTGTTGAAACTATGCGCCTGATTTGAAAGAGCACTCTTATCTTTTACTTTGACAGTCCTCAGTCCTCCATCCGGTTTCCATTCAGTTTCAATGCACCTCAAGGTTAAATCATGTTGCTGAATCCTCCCTTAATGTTCTCCTACACTACATAAATGCTCAGTGAGAACAACTCAAAATCAGGGAGAAACAGCGTCCACCTGGTGACTCTCAGAATATTATGGCTTTGCGTGTTTCATTTGAAATTCAAAATTCTGACCACTAAGACAATTTCTGTACAATTTTACAAGTTTTGACCGTGTCAAGTTTTTTTTTATCCCCCCTCCCGAAAATATATATATGTAACCCTGAGATGATATTCAAATTTCTGGAACAGGTTTGATTGAAGCCACCTGCCCCTTTGCAAAATAGGCCCGCAAGTTGGAGGTTTTCCTGAATGAAATACCACAAGTTGGAAGCCAAAACTCTCAAAAAGAGTGATTTATAGAAAAAGTTTCCTGATTGGTACTGCTTATGGCACTTATTGTGAATGAGCTGCAGGATCACACAATACTGATAAGCTCCAGCCCAGGAATATAACAATTAATAGTGGAGTGCGTCCTTATTAGAGATTTTGACTTTGAGCAAAGAATTCAAGCAGAATTAAATGCTGGCTAACATAACAAACACTTTCTTAATGTAGTCTGTACATCTGTTGCACACCTGTTTGTTGATATTTTAACGTTGTCTCCATTGTTTAATGACGAATTGATCTTCAGTGGTTACTAACACCTTCACCTCTTTTCTGTTGAATTGTCAAAGGTGCAGTTCATTCGAATGGTTCGTATTGATTTTACCCCCTTCCTTGCAGACTGTAATCATTCCATGCAATTTTAGGTTTCTCTCATGAGAAAGATTTTTTACTTCAGGAAGAGGCAGTTTCTAAGTTTTCTCAGTGAATGGCTTTTCCACTCCCAACAGAATCTCATGCCTCGCCCTCAAAAACTGTAAAACAAAGATAAACATTTCTGAAATGTACATACCATTTTTTTATTTGCTGTGCAGAGCATCAGGCATGTGTCCACTGTACAGACTGTACACTTGGCATCACAAACAGTTATTGAAAAACAGTAATTAACCTGTTTACACTTGGCATCACAAACAGTTATTGAAAAACAGTAATTAACCTGTTTGTAATCTTGCCACAACCTTTGATATGTGCATGACAGTGATTACGGACATTTTCATGGGCGAAAACTCCTAAACTTGCATGGAATGTAAGAGAAAAGCTCAGAGTAACCAGTGCTCAAGTTGCCCAAAACCCCTCTGAATTCTTCAAAAGACTGGTTTTGAATTCTTCAAAAGACTTCCAAATTTTTCTGGAGATCTCAGTTGCTTTAAGATACAATCAGTGAAGCCATACACTTGTTCATCTAACACTGGTCTAATGCTGCTTCACCCTATGATGGACTCTTTGGAAAGGCACATCCTCTCTTTCTCCTTTTCCAGCAGTAGCTTCGCCCCTGCCAAGCAGCCGTTTATTAACTTTCATTTGCTGATGTATATTTCTTTACAGCATATTGTGGTCTTTTGAAAATGCCAACCTCTTCAGTTTGTTTGCTGGGATATGCTTAGGTTGTGGTATTTGTTTCCAACACTTGCAAGCAATAATATTGGAATATGATCGACAGCACTTCTCACGTTGCACTAATTTTTGCGCTAGTTTTGTTCGCTGAATTGCCATTTTTATAGTAGTCCTCTACATGTCAGATTTTCCAGGTCTTATTTTGCCTCTGCACCTGTAATTTCTGTTGCTGCACATTTTCTTTTGTCCAGAATAGACTTCATTTTCGGGTAAATGCGTTTTGAAGTTTGCATTGTTATAGACATGAGCCTTGTTTCTAATTGTGTAATATATGTTGTGCAAACTCTAGCATAAATGTGACCTCTTGCCTTGTTTATCTGCGTCCAAGATTCAGATTCTGCTGTGAGGGATATTGTTGCCATGGAGACCTTTTCCAAGACCCCACATAAAATGCTTATACATTAATGGAACATCAGATTTTTTTAATTCATGTCCAAGGTATCAGAGTAATCTTTGACTCCAAAATAATCCATGTTTACCCAAAGTTAAATATTAACTTGAAAGTAGTGTATCCGGATGTATATTCTTTCGTCAAATAAAAAATACCCTCTGTAACCTCTTATTCTGCCTCCCAACATTTGATTGATAGAAAAAAGTGAAGTGTTGGAAAGGTTTCTGACCAGTCTCGACTGTAATATGGGTGGTGGACTGCTGGTTACACCCTTAATCATGCAGCACCAGGTTTTTTGGCTTCCATTCTAATTTTCCCATCTCTTAGACTACGTTTGGTTTCAACTTGTTTAGTTTTTAAACCCCCTCTTTGTTAAAGCAAATGTAAATGCAGAGTGTTGTATAGGTTTACCCCAGCTACCCAAACTCCAACAAAATCTATCATAATCCATTACCTGGTTGTAATAGCGGGATTTCGATAAATGAGTCTATGGAGCCTCTGCAGTCTTGGAAATGTCTCCATTTTACAAAGTATTTTCAAAAGCAAGACAGTTTTTACTGATCCGCAACGCTGGCTTTGCAACGGTAGTAGTGCACGGTGACAAGTTTTATTTCCTGTTTTTAAGAGATGGCAGTATCTGTTGTTATTTTTCAGGATGTTTTCCTTCGGTGAATTCAAAGCAGAGGATCAGGTGAGATAAATTGCTCATACAGATTGATATTTAAAATGTTTCAATTTTAGTTGTTTCAACATCATCATAAAGACTGTTTCACAGGGATTCACCATTCTTTCTTGTCACAAGACCAGCCACAAGACGAGTCATAAGTAACAGTGTGAACAGTGGACAAAGGAATGCTTTTGTTGCAGTTCATTTGAATGGCTTGTGACTTGAAGTCAAACTGGAGGTCTTGCGATGGTCTTGCGGGGTCTTTCAAAGAGGTCTTGACTACCACGCTGGCTTGCTGATAAGTCTTTCTGTTATTGTCCTGATCCTGTACATTTTTATTTGACACGATCTTGTTTATTTACACAGGAAGCAATGCTGGACACTCTGAACAGAAAGGTGGAAGAGGTTTACCGGAATTGCATTGGTGACAATGAGGCAAACATCAGGTATCTCGTTCTGTACTTTTTCCGAATGCTCAGGATTTTTTTTCTCATTTAAATAGAGTACCGACGGTGAATACGTCAGGTGCACAGTTAGTGTGTCAAAGGCATTAGCGAGAGAACCAGGGCGTGAACCAACACGCGCGCGTACTGCATTCGTTTGCACTGCACTTTCTGGTTCACAGTGATGTCACACTTCGGTGCTCTATTGAGTATGCCTTCAGACTTTTTAGTTATCAGGGTCTGCGATGGTAGATATTCTGTGATCAAATGTAAATATTTTATGAAGAGCTTTTCGTGTTATTTGGACATTGTGCAGAAATGAATATGGGGTCATAGTAAAAGTAGCTGAGAAGCTAGCGAAAAAGAGGAGATTTGACAAGATGTAACCATTCTTTTGAATCCCCTCCACAGGGTAGCTTCTGATTCAGTGCCAAATGGGGCTCTTACCTGAATGAATCCTTCTGTGTCTCAGAATTTGACCCTGGAAAATGTAGTGTGGCAGAAAGGTTTCAGCCTTCCAAGATGTCCCACCTAAAACAGCACCAAGAAATACACATTCTAATTGTTTTATGATTGACCTTTTTCACAAGTCGGCCATGTTGAATTGAAAATGAGATAAATGTTTTTATTTTGGAACCTGAGAATGAAAATGAAACCACGGGAAATAAAACTTCATCACAAATTAATGTCTTTTGTGCTGATGAATAATTTCAAATTTATGAATTATTCTATCTAAATGTCTTAAGACACATTTTAAAATCAATTGAAGTGAGGCATGGAACCCCAAATAGTCCGGCACCGCCCCCTTTCAACAGATTACATTACACGAAAGAGATGCAGGGGACATGATCAAAAATGGCCTCCTTGTGAATGAGGTATACTGCTTTGCATTTATTAATGATTTTTGCTCGTCTTTGTGTGGCATGCAGTACGTTGCAGATGCTGACCAACATCGAGAACCGACTGGAGGAGTTGTTTGAGAGTGTTGAAACCATGCCACCAGAGAAAGTGGAGGCAGCGGAAAAGGTGAGAGATGTTGATAAGACAAGGCATTGAAAGTGTGAGGCTGCCAAGTTAAAAGAAGCCGGTGAACTATTGTGTCTGAGTTACTTTGGCTGTTGTATGAGCATCCCGTAGGACTTCCTGATTGAGCTCAAGCATGTTCTTGTCAGATTTTCATGTTGTGCTGATGTTCAGCATGCTGACCATGTCTGTGTCTACAGGTGAGCTTGTCCAGTCTAGAATCCAGTCAAAGAATTGGCATGACTCAGAGCTACCAGAGAAATGTCAGAGGCTATCAAGCCATTGCGTATATTCATTCCTAGGTTGCCAGTGTAGCTTCCATAATTCATAGATGCATGTATTTTGTGTTGTGTACATAGACACATCCGCCGAACAGATATTAGAAGCCATTAATGTGGGACCATCCAGTTCACACGCAGGCGGTGTGCACGCGTTACATTTCTCTCTGACCAATAGGGTGTCTTGACTTGCCAAAGTGTGCACGTGCATGAGTGTAATGGCCCCGCAGGAATTGCTTCTCCTCGAATTTGTCTGTATAGTATTTGAAATTAAGTTTCAAAGTGGAAGTTGTAATCTCCGCAATTTTACAACAAATTTTGACAAATTCTGACATTTCATACATATTTTCATCTGGTAGGCCATTTGTGTAGCCTTTGTATTAATATGTCAGGTGAAAATAAACAATAGAAATCTGCATAGATGTCCCAACTCCTTTTGTATTCTTTACTCATTCAAATAGCCCCGAAATGAATCAAGTTCAAATGTCAAGTTCAGTGAAAATTATTGACTTATGCTCTTCTGTTTACCACCGACCATTGTTTCCAATGGCCTCTTTGCCGTCAGAATTTTTCGTAGGCTAATATGTTGTTCTTTGCTTTGCTTTCACCCTCCTCAGGCCAAAGAGAAGGAGCGTCGTCTTCGACAACGGGAGGAGAAGATTGAGGCCCAGCGGATCCACCAGGAGGAGAGGGTGAGACGAGCCCTGGAGAGAGCCCAGGCAGACCCCAAGAAGAAGGTAAAGAACTTGGCAAACCATCTCCAGGTCTAGTGGTGTGCATTTTACAGGTATCACAAGAACCAGGTACTTTGCAGAGCTCTGCCACATTGCTTACTACTCAGGAGTGTAGAGAACTGAAGTGAATACGTCATGCACACAATTATGTGAGTAAATGGCACGAGCACAAGAATCAATGTACCCACGCATACTCCATTCGTTTGTGCTACACTTTCCGGTTCAAACGACGTCAGACTTCAGTACTCTATACGGCTTGCCAAGTTTGGCAAAAAGTTTCACCCCGGGCTGGTGTCAAGATTGGCCTCAAAAATGTACGCTGCAGCATCACGTTACAAAAAGGGGCATATTTTTATGTTAGTAATCAATAATATTTTTAGATATATATTTATATTACTCTTTTGCCTTAATAATGATGGCCAGCTAAAGTCTACCAGATGCAGAAAATGCAGCTGTAATATAGAACGAGAGAGGTCTTGGTATAAAAACAAATGACTGCGTACACGTACCTAAAGACCGTCAGAAAAAACGCATGTGAAAATGCATGTAAGGTTTCATTGACTCAAGATGCTCATCAGCCACCTTCAACCTTCACGTGAAACTTGTTTTCACTTTCAACATGGCCTGGTTTTATCACTTCAAAATGTCCTCACATTGAATTATCTTAAGACCAGATGACTCTTGATGTATTTGACTGCAGCACCATGACAAAGAAGGTTACAAATAATTTTTTTTTTTTCCTGCAACTTGGCAGACTGGTCGGAAGTTGGTGTTCCGCTCGGAGCCGCCTCAGACAAAGCGCAAAGTGGACATGTCTAAGCAGAAAGCAGACAAAGAGGAGGAGGAAATGGCTTATTTCTTCACATAAGACAGTGGCACCCAACCATTAAAAAAGAAACGCATCCTCGTAGAGTCATAACCCTGACGCTATCGCCCGCTGTTCACGGCGGCTGAACCCACTGACGCACCTCAGGTTGGAGTTCGCTGTGACCGGCTCGGAGCAATAGCCATTGTCCTTTAACATGGAATTGAACTCATAACTTTACATGTACTTGCCACATCGGGGCAGTGTTAAGACCTTGGCCCTCCCCTATCCCCTCCACCTGCTAGCCCCGATCTACACCTCCGTGTGGACCTCCGAGTCCGCACAAAAGAGGTCCACATATCTGTTAGCCCAGAAGACATTGCGTGGACTCACACACGTCCACACAGTGATTTCCCTTCTCTGAAAAAACACTCTTAAGAGGCATTTTGGGATCAGGGGTATTGCGTTTGAAATGGAGAGGAGCAGTCCAGGAAATCACCGCCAAAATTAATGTCCACACTTTGTATGGGAAACAATACGTGTATAAATAGACTGTGTAACTGTTGTGGCTGTATAAGCATGTACCCCCAGTCATTTCCACCATGAAGCATCTCATCTAGACTTCAGTGATTATCAACCCAATAAGCTTATGCACAACGTTTGCACTCGACAAGCAAATTTCCCTTTCCAGGGTGCAGTTATAGATGGAGAAGTTGTACTTGTGGCCAATACCCGACTGTGGTTTTTTTTATATAGGCGTTTAAAAGCTCATTTATTTTCATTTGCGCGATCTCCCTCTGACGTCATGTCCATTGTAACAGCCGCTTTACTTGACAGAGAAGTGGTTGGATTTGTAGCTGCATCGAAGGAGCGGTGACTCTTCCATTTTTCATTATCCAGTTTTTTCTTGCAAAATATGGTGATCCGTCCAAAGCCTTCTAAAATAAATTATTTTAATTGGAATACATGTAGAGGTTATTTTTGCGTGAGGGATGGTTTATATCTTCCTGTAAACGTCTGTTTAACAAAATTCCATCCAACATTATATTAACTGTGCTTCTGGAGAAATTAAAAGTAATTCATGGAATTTAAAATAAATTATGTGTTACTCTCTTTTTTCCAACCAGAATAAGGGTTCCTTTTCTTTTCAGATAGCTAGAAGGCACAAAGGTCCTCCACAAATCATTTCCAAGTAGAAGATTTGAAACCTGCCGTATCTTGTACGTGTATTTGTTTCCTTGTTTTCGCGGAAGATGTGCTTGATACAGGAAGCCACTCCCCGCCGATTCTTCCTTGAAAACCACACGAGGGCGCAATTCAGGGTTCACTTAGTTCGTGAACTCCGATCCGGACCTTGAGCATTCACTAGTGACCTCAACAAATTTTCCACGTGGCAGCACTTAAAAATAACCTTTACCTTAAGGGCTATTGCATTCATCGTTTTATCTTGTATATGATTTACCGCTGTAAACATGTGTAACTGTGCCAGCAACAATTAAGATTGTGTAAATCACTGAGTGCGCTTCGTTTCTCAGCAAACAGCCGCCGGCTGGAGCATTCGCATGGTACCATGGTACAGCTTAGAATTTAGAAAGGAGATCAGGGTTAACTAGGGGCTCTATGAAATGTGGTCCACATGCGAAACGGAACATATTTACCAGATAACGACTGACACCATGCATGCTGACTCATAACCTCTGAAATGTAGTTGTTATAGCTTTCTTTTTCTTCTTTTGGTAAAACCGTGGATCCTTATTGGAAGTTAAGAGCTATTTATTTCTCTGAATCTGGAAGGCTCCATCTATTCAAAGTTTATGAGTAGCCCGGTGCTGAAAAATTTGCACGGTTAGGTTAAAGGAGACGTCGTCAAACCGTGCGTTTGAATGAGTTCTTCTGTAAAGACGTAGGCCTTGTCGTAGTTTAAGTCGTAGTCGTAGAAGAACGAGAAGACGTCGTTTTCGTTTGGCGATTCCTTTCAAAAGCTAATGTGGTTGGCCCTATATACGTGGACCAAACTGCACTCGGATGTCATCATAGGAACTGCGACTTGGTGGGAGGGGGCACGGACAACCAATTAATGGGGGTGCCCCCGTTGAACTACTAAAGATGCCTAAAAAGTCAATTAAACTAGCAGGCATGTTTGGTGGGACGATGAACTACAAGCTCGCTCCGGCCCCGGTGTACACTCAAACAAATTCTTCAACCGTGTGAAAACCGGTCTAGTAGGAGATGTTGTGTAATAACTTATCTTGTTTGTAAAGATGATTCTGTCTTCATGCACGGAGGGTGGTATATATCCGGTTACGTGTGTAAATGAATTATGCTACTCATTTTGTTTGCCCAGAGGCCACAGGAGGCTGGACCCACAGATCACGTATCTGCAATGCTGTGTCTGTCATGATAGCGGGTGGTCAAATTTTAAGCCGACTTTAATAGGATATGATTATAACTGACTGCATTAAGTAGCTATAGCGCTGATACGGTCGCTCGCAACGAAATTTGAAAATTGTGAACCATGTATAGCCCCTCTTATTACGTTTCGCTGGTGCCATGCCAAAGATCTTGTAAAGGTCCTTGGTTCAGAATGGAGGGCATTCTGCTTACGGTTGTTACTCTTGTATAGAAATATTAAGTGCTGATTGTCCGTTAGGGGCCACTGTAAGATTGCACAGCATGATACGAGGGTTTCTGAGATGTCGTCACCTTGCCTCTAATGTCGTCATCCTGTGATAAATGTCCCAGGATCCTAACAAGTCGGATGACACTTCCAGAGCTCCAATTAATACGGAAAGTCGACATTCAAGTTACAGGGTGTCGCATCTTTTACTTTCATGACGTCGTTATTTGGCATATCATCGAAACAAAATAGCTCAGGATGTCGACATCTGAACTTTCAGAGTGTCTTAATCCACAAAAGAAGTCTGGATCTCAGCAAGTCGGATGGCCCTTACAAAGCTCCATACCATATGAACAGATTAGAAGGTATATGAGCTTAACTCTCCCTTTTCCATCTGTCATTCACATGTATTTATAGGCCTAACTCTGAGACATAAATGAAAAACGCAATTAGTAAACGGATGTTGATTTGGGCCGTAGTGGTCTGAACGTAGTGAGTTGTAACACTTCATAGCTATTCCACTTGATCATCTTGCACTTGTAAGCTTACCACCCCACCCCCCAAAGTGCACCACATACACCCGATTTTCAACCTCTCACCCCATGCCGCCATAAAACTCTGTCAGGTGAGTTCTCCGACGGTGGCCGGGGTTACCTTAAGAGTGAAGATACAGTAAAAAAAACTTGGTCGATTTCTAGACCATGGAGGAGGGAAGATCGGCATTCGCCTGGCTACAAAGTCGACACACAAACTGTTTCAAAGCGACCACTAAATGACTCTCAGACCGTGACGCACACACACGTCCAGGTTATTTTTCCTCCAACTTGTATCGCAAACGATCATGCAGTGATGAGGCGAACGTCTGCTATCTCAGCATGTCTCACTTTTTCGAGGAAATAATTACTCCTTCCAATACCAGGTTGGCCAGAAGTCATCAGACCGAGCCAGCGGGAGAAAAGTACTCCTTGGACCACATGTTAGTCTAATTGCGGTCCATGATTGCAAAAGCAGATCGACAAACCTTTACTTCGACCGCCTGGAACCAATATCCCAACCCTTCATTTCACCAATTTCGACCTGTTGAATCGATCAGGTACCAGCCGGTACGCCGACAGGTTCATTGAGAAAATTTCTCAGGTACCGATATGTGTATGATTTATTGTAATGCTGCAGACCAACGGAGTGGATTGCTAACAATGGAAAGTGGATGCAAGGCAAGCGTACGTGTTCGAATGCTTGGGTCAGTATTTCGATTATTTTGCTTGGAGTACCAACACGCTGTGGCCGGACAAGCGCTCTTAACAACTGTTGCCAGTGTTGACAAGTAGCCCTTACTACGATTTCAACTATTCGTCGAGTCTCAACCTACAAACTTTGTTAGGAACTTAAGTCCTGCGCCTGTGCATGCCGGGCTGTGACCGAGTCCAGGGTCCCCGAGAACTTATCGCCAATTGACAAGGGTATCGTATAATCCTCGTCCCCTTGCCTTGATAAATAACCCGCGTTGGTACCCTCGACCAAGGTACACACATACCCGAAGTGGTCGTTTAAACTGATAAGGTCAACAAATCTGAGCGTGTAAACACTGCAGCGGGATTGCTTCAATTCAGGATCGCGTATAGGACGGAAGAATCAGCGCTTGTCGACTGCTATTGGACGACCGGGGTGTTGTAAGATGTTCCAACGGCATTCCCGTGTTACCCAGAGCTATTTTTAGTCGTTGGTAGCTGACTGATAAGAGGCGCGCTGCCCTGGGATACGGAAAAGTTGGGAACCACTTGACAGAGTATAACCAACCAGCACATCAGCTGTTAACTGCAGTCGGTGTCTTGTCACATCTCGAACCCCGACCGACCAGTCTCCAACGGCAAAGGGGTACCCTCACATTCATCAACGCTCTCATTGTCATTACCGATAGCCTGTTTGCTCGAGTGCCCTTTCTTACTTGTTCGGTAGGCTGCTAATATGGTAGACGTGTACCGCACACGCTCCAGTCTGGAACGGGAGAGTTGGACTCTACAGAGACTCAACTCGGCCGGGGACCTCGAGGAGGAGAGCGACACCAATAGTTCATCCTCCGATGAGGTCTCGTGCATGTCCGATAGCAACAGTTCCCTCAGCCCAAGCGAAGACGAGCTCTTCTTGGAGTATCTCTTCTCGCAGGGACTCGCCGACACCGACATGAGCAGCACAGTCCGTGACGCCCTATTCAATATCCGCGTCGACAACAAACTTGACTTCGACGCTGTTGCGGAGGGCATATATCCCGAGGCCGAACCTGTCTACTACCCACCCCAGCCGACGCCGATCTTCCCGCCCGACCCTTTGATGCATCACAGTTACAACATGGTTGAACCTCCTAAAACCCCGTACAATGATTATTTCAAACCTCCACCGTACGGCATAAACACTGACTCGCAGAACGGAACCTACTCGCAACCCCAGTGGCAGCATTGTCAAGGCGGCATCAACTTCGCCACCTCGGACAGCCAAAGCCAATGCGGTAAGCCACCGGTCATCCAGGATGTGAGGCACTCGCACTCTGCCCCGACGGCTCTTTCGTCGTTCTCGGTCACCACAGGGTTGTCCGTCGGTGAGACGTCCGTCCAGGTTTCAACATCGCCCCAAAATGAGCCGCCGTCTCCTCGAAGCCTCTCCAGTCAGAGGATGGCACTCCTACCTGCGTCTGGTGTGCGCATCACGCACATCCCCGTCAGCAAACCACCCAGAGCAGCCGACACTTCACCCACAGAATCCGGTACCGTTGTCCGCAAGCCGGTCAGGAGTCGAGGGACCGGTAAAGTGGCGGATGAACTCAAGATCCACAAGTGCACGTACGCTAACTGCGGCAAGATGTACTCCAAGAGCTCCCATCTCAAGGCGCACCTGCGTAGACACACGGGGGAGAAGCCCTTTGTGTGCACCTGGGAAGGCTGCAAATGGCGGTTCTCTCGCTCGGACGAGCTGGCCCGTCACAAGCGGTCTCACTCCGGGGTCAAACCGTACCAGTGCACCATCTGCGAGAAGAGGTTTTCCCGCTCGGACCATTTGTCCAAGCACATTAAGGTTCACATGAACGGTGTCACCCGGGGAATGAAAACAGCCAATAACATGATGTGCTCTCGATGAGGCTGTTAGTGCAAACAGAAGACACGGCCTTTTTAGGGGGGGGGTTTCCCTTTTGTCCAAGTGGGCTGCGTATTTTGTATGCTGCATTACATGAAGTTCGGGAAATCTTCGAAGCAACTTTACTTTGCCAGGCTGGACAGCTGTTATTTCTGTTCCTGAGAGGAGAGGTTGAATTGAATTTCTAGTAGTTATTGTCAAGTTGTGTTCATTTACATAAAACATTGTATATTTCAACTGGTACGCAAACTCTAAGCTAAGAACTTCAGAAGATGAACTTTCCATCTGTGTATCACAATGCTAGAATTCCGAAATCGTCATCGTGATGTTTTGGGTGCTGGGTACAAAACACCGGGTATTAAGCTTTGAGCAGTTGTATATGTTTTTACGAGGAGAAAGAAAGGTATCAAGTATTTTTGAAAGTCGTTTTTTTTTTTTTTTTGCCGAGTTGTATTTTCCCGTGACAGTGAGTTCACACGAACCAGGCCTTATTATTTGGGGAAGTTGAGTACGATGATAGAAGTAGGACAGCGATCGCTGTGTATTAACACACACGATCCCTTTCAAAGGCTGTTGACTTTCTCGGTTGCTTACATATCCTGAGTTGCTTTAAATATTGACTGAAATACAATGGTCAAATATACGCTCGTCAGTGGCCAAGTAAGCGCTCGTCCAACGTTACCGCTTTTGTATTTTTGGTGTGGTAAATGAACTTAAGGTTTGGCAGAGGAGGACCTAAACCGAGGTTTGTGTGTATATCAAGGCTGCTGCTTCATTCTTATAATTTACAGATCGCGTTTTCTGCGAGAGTAGTTTGTAGAACTTCCGGGCAAGGGATAATTTAGACTTTCCATGGCTGTTTATTCCTCTTTTAAAGTTTCATGTGTAGATAAAATGCTGTAGGAAGTGCAAAACCCAAGCTTGCCTCTACTGAATCTGCTTTTAGTTGGTAGAAGTAGAACGACAGAATCCGTTGTTTCCTCCCTGGGAGACGTCTGTAGATGTTTAGCTAAAAACCTTTTTGTGCATAGTTTTTTGCTTTGCCTAAATTATTGTCTGTGCGCCTTTGCTTAAAAAGGCATTTGCTGTTACAAGTAACAGTTTAACGTGGGAAAGTATTCACTGAAAACAATGGTAAAAAGAACAAAAATTACAAGAGTTTGAAAACAGGGAGAAAGTGTGGAGTCATCTGGGATTTTGTGTTTATAATTCAGATGCAATTTATAGCCAAGTAGAAAAAGAACCGTTCAGCATCTGAAGTCAATGTCCTCTCTGGTAGCACCTCCAAAGAATTCTTTGACTGGCGGGACCCATAAATAAGCAGGAAATTAATGCAGTGGATATAAACGAAGGGGTTATAGGCCCCAATGTCATTGAGGAATGTGCATAGAGCAAGACACGTTGGCCATCTTATAAGTGTCCGTTGCTAAGCTTTAGGGTGGGTGGAGTTGGTTGGGTGGGAGTTCCTTACTGCAGCTGTATTTCGTCCTTTATGTGTTCAATGACAAGCAGAAGGCTTGCTTTGTTTTGGGTTCAGTAAGTCAGAGCTAACTTCACTGTAAGTCGTTTCTACCTCCACATTTTATATCTCCCACCAGTTATCTTTGCTTTTGTAAATTGGATTTTGTATTGTACAATGCGTGGAATTCAATGTGCTGTATAAGATAACACGTCACTTGAGCATATCGTGATAAGAAAATAAAAGGATTTACCACGAGTCACATTATGTAACGTGGATATGAAGTACATGCATGAAGTCTCCATGGAGTGGCCAAATTGGATGTTACTTACGCTGTGGATCCGTTGGCAACGTTTGCGCCCTGTCCTTGAATTCGCTAGTGTGAGAGACAGTATAACTGCTGTATATGCGTACGAACGGTGCAATAGACACCCCAAAATCTCGATGATACTATTAAAATCGCTCTGATACTCTTTGGTAAAAGATAATGATTCAAGCAACAAAACAGTGACGGCAATGCAACAATCGAAGCTGTATAGTATCTCCAAATTTGTTCTTGACGATGGAAAGTGCCTACTGGTTTTTATTTCTTACCGAAAATACAATATGATTAGATAAGGTTAAAGACTTTTGGGGCAATAGTAAGTTAATAGACTATCATGCTGTTTTAATGATACACTGGCTCCTAAACACATGTAGCTAGCTGTATATGCTTGTTCCCGCTAAAAGTGAACGTTGTCCGATTTTTTGGTCAAAATCTTATACTTTCCTCGTTTCCAAGTCAGTATAATGGAACGACAAGAAAGAATGATTTTTAAATTGTGTTTTGTTGAAAAAAATTATTATACAGTTTATTTCGCTGCAAAATTGCAGTTTTGACTGAGCTCCCTTTGCCTATGTTACCTAGGCCCTTCCATGATAAAGTGTGAACTTCTGAATACTGTAATGCTGTATACGTTCAGTAGCAGCTATATAAGAATGATCTCTCCCCTTGGCACGGTTAGGTGATGTAGAAAAATTACCGTCGAGTGTTACTGGCGTATAACGTGAAAAACCATGGTTAGACTAATTTGAATAAAATCTGATACACTGAGTTCTTTAAATTCATGTGAACATAATAATTTGAATTCTCCATACTTAAGACACAGTTGCTGTACCTCGTGATTCGGGCAAGCTTTCGCTTAGTTGACACCTTGCACCAACACAGCTGTTTTCAATGGATAAGAAGAGCACAAAGGAACCAGTCCATTCCAGAGATGGTGGTCGCTATGCAAAGCTTGCCCTAAATCACGTGGTATAGCATGAGTGCCTTCACTCAAGGGAATTCAAATTACTATGTTTGTGTGCAATTAGATACCGGTAACTCAGTGTACCAGATTAACTCGCAAAAGGCTTATTGGGCTACCTTTACAGAATTATGTGCTTGCATGTAACCTTTTAATTATCAGAAAGAAACATTTAAATGATTCTGAATTATTGTCTAACCTACCCCGTACTCAAAACGCAAAAGTTTGGATTGTGGTTTAACCCATCTAACCATTTTCAAACGATATCTTGCGTACAGCTCCAACATACCGTCAACATAACGAGACAACCTGGTCCTTTAATTGCCTCCAAACTATTCAGAAGGAGATTAAGCATTTTTTTTTCTATGGGTACGATTAGGCACACAGATTCCACCGTTATCTCTGCGTTCTCGGGTAAGGACCCCGTGCAATGTACACGATTGTTTGCAGTTGATATAACGGGAGCTGTGATCTGAACTGTTTCGTTATCGAGCTCGACTTTTGATTGAATATACCGGATTGGGTGGACTAGTCTCGGATCGACTTCGAATGCACTGATAGTGTGCACCTTGAACTTAATGACTTCAGAATATTGCATCACAAACTATAGGCGATTACATATGTCTGCCAGTTGCGTCCAAAACAATCACTTTTGTGTGAAGTTATATTGAAATGGAACACAGTCTCATTCTTGTAGATTTCCACTGGTCCTGGGAAGGACTCCAGATACCCCCACTGTATGACCAAGTGACAGGCTTAGAAAGATCTCTCAAGAAGATGCCGATGCAGTTCAAGAAATGGTGAGAAAGGAACGCTCAAGTCACTCTTAATTTTTGTCTGAATTAAAGTTAAAGCAAACAATTAAAGTTGCCGCCGGCCGTAGACATAAAGTTCGGGAACACATACGAATGAAACTAACCGTTCCTATCGTGAACAGCTGCTGAATTTCAGAGATTTTTGCAATTCTTAATCACCAGCGCAATCTTTGCATGAAAAAAATTACGTGCGACAATCAAAATTTCGTATACTCAAACACATAATTCCTGCTCAGAATTTTAATCAGAAAGAGCGTTTACCTTGTAAAGAACATTTTGAACAGTTTCATGCCAAGAGTTGAGGGGGCTTGAAGATTCTCCGGACGTTTGTCGAAAATAGCCGCCACTTTCTGCTCCCCGACGGTAATTGGGCCAAAAATGTAGGCCTACGTGCACGTGGTCTCTCATAAAACGGTGCAAAATAATTTTTTTTTTCATATTAGCTGGTCGTCAATGCCCCACATTAGATAACTTTTATTGATTTATTGCGTGTGCCCTGGGATGTTTCACTCACCTGGGAACTTGAAACCATTTCGACAGGGCAAATTTTACAACTTGCATGTTGATCAAACACTCGTGTCTGTTCCAAAGCACAAAGAAAGAACGCGTTCTTTATGGCTCTTATGGTGACTGTATCATGGTAACACTTCAGCTCCAAGATTTTTTCAAGATATGGAAATTTTGATCATCGATTGTAGCACACTTCCCCGCGTAATTACATTCAATTTGTGCGTGCTATATTTCCATTTTGAGAGGAAAATGGAAGATAAAAGCATAGGTTTAAGGGAACCTTCAAATGTTCCGTGGTTCAAACCTCTCTACCAATCCTGGTATTGTCGTTTTGAAGTTGTCAACTCTACTTGAAATTGCGAATTTTCGATGAACGCTTCTGCAAAATTTCGCAAGTCTTATTGTTGCTTAAGAATATATACATACCGAAAGACAACGAGCAACTTCTTTTTATACAGTAATAAGTTTTTGATGAGAATGGGTGTAAATCCGGGTGATGGGGGTGTGTATATATACACGCAGGACGCGTGCAAGAACCCGCTTGTAACCACCTGTCTTTCTGTTCGCTGATTGGATGCACTTCAGTTCGGGGCGGATACGTCACCTCCACTTTTTGACCATGGGAAGGATGGACTATTTCATCATCCAGTCCCGCTTTTTCATGACGAGAAAACAAAATAAGGCGGACTGTGAAGAATTTGTCGGGCATCCCAACACCTAAAATATATTCAATGACATAAAAAAGACAGAACATTTTAAAAAGCCACAGGCCAAAACATGCCGTTCTGGTGTGAGATTTTGCAAAAATGTAAGAAACATTATGTAGATATGTATCATGCATATCGCCCCCTATAGTGTCATATGGTGTCACAGTTCCCCCCCCCTTCAAATTTCCATGGCCGGGCAAGTCGCCCCCCCCCCCCTCATTCCCCATCCTCCATCTCGACGATTTCCTGCACAAATTTACATCACTGTTAATGAGGAACTTTTACAGTGAGGGTCACGAAACATGAACATAAACCACGTATACACAGCCTTGATAAGTAAAACTGCAAGCTAACAAGTTACATACAAAGGTAAAGTCTGACATTCTGATCACACCAAAATCTTTTCTTCAAAGTTTTACCAATTTCTCAAGAAATTTTCTGGAAGATCTGAACTACTAACTCACGTGGCACGACTGCTCCTCTCATTTCCCGGAAGAAGCACGCAATTTCCCTCCTTTAAAATGTTACTGCTTATTTTTCGATCACTGCAAAATCTTTTCCCCAAAGGTTTACCAATTTCTCAAGAAAATCTTCTAGAAGATCTGAGCAACAACCTCACGTGGCATGATTGTTCCCATCATTTCCCGGAAAAAGTGCACGATTTCCCCGTCTAAAATGTTACTGCTTATTCACCCCCCACTACCACCACACACCATCAAGTTGGAAAATCACTTTTTAAGTGCAGAAAAAAAACGATTGCGATGACTCAATCTTTCCATGACAAACTGTAAAAATTGTCAGCTAATAAATTCTAGCCATTCTGTGACAACATTGATAACAGCGATGTAGTTTAACACAAGCTCGTTATCATGGAAGTAAATGTAGGCCTATATATTGTTGGATTATTAATGAGATGCATACGACTGTTCAAAGCGATAAACTGATTAGAGACTTGCGTACGCGCAACGTCATCGACAGCTCACCAACCACTTAACCCTTTATTGTGAACTCTAGAAAGATTGTAGTCCTACCAGTCAGGATGACAAAGATCACATGACGCATCTTGCCTGATAACAACCACCATTCAGTCTAAATAAAGGCAAGTTTGGACTTGATCCTTCACCCTATAAAGTGGTTTAACCTGACCTAGAGAAAACCATCAAAGAGTCGGGCTGGTTCAAACTATAGGTAGCCTGGGATGACAAAGTGCGACATCAATAAAAGTTCCTGGTTCGTCCTTTTTCTCCTTCAAAAACTTGAAGGTCTGTCTACAGAGAACAGTTGAACGTGACAAATAATATGGCCAGACCCCCATTGCAATGCTTTTGGCCTCTTTCACAAGGATGGCATTAGCAATATTGGCGTTTCCAGCGGTGGGGTCTTTTTATATAAATCGTGAACACTTCATTGGACTTGGACAAATGTGCTATAAGGATGGCCGATATTGTGGTAGCCCTCTTTTGTCGCTCTGTACAGCTAAACGATACGGACCACATGCTGACCGCTACTCCTGTCTTAAATGTTAACATTTCCTCGGCTTTCAAGTCAATATCAATGGTCCTAAATTATTCAAATTTAATGTTCGGTAAATGTGTACGGAAAATTTGGGAACCAAGGAGAATGGTCGGCATATACGAATGTACAGTGTGAGCGGTTTTTGTTATCGTTTTATAATACTTTGTAGGCCTATTTTAGGGACCGTTTTCGGAATTCTTTCAGGACTGACGTCATAGTTACATCTGGTGGTTTCTGTTGGTCGCCAAGCTAGCAATTGCAGCCGTATGCTAGTACCTTCACTCAAGCGATGAGAGTTACCTCCTGCCTCCACTATAGGCCCAAACATGACTGCTTTGTAAAAAGCACCGATAAAGCCAAGTTCGATCGGCGACGGCTAATTAAGTCAACCATCGGTCGATTAGACTTGGGACCCCGAATGTATTTTGTGCACTGATTTACCAAGGAGAGTACATGAGGGATCGATAAACGGTCGCTGAACGAACTTTTGCACCATTTGAATTCACTTTAGGGAGTGAGGCCTACCGTCAATCGAGAAGAAAACGAGGCTATAAAGCTCGAGCCGTCTGCGGTGTTACCTCCATTTCTGTCAATTTGCGCAATTATCCAGTCGCTTGTACGTGTGTATACGCAAGATGATCCTTAGAGGTCAAGTGCTTATATGTTGTGCTCATTTAACCTTTGCGCATTGGGGATATACAAGTTGCGTTCACGTGTGCCTGAGTTAAGGTGGCTTTTGACATCTTGCTCTTCAAAGATAATCCACTGCTCCCCAATAGCACATCGCGTGACTTTCAGGTCATTGGAAAGGGATGTAAAGGACGCAGTTTTGAAGGTCGTCTACTTTTGCGAATCTCAGTGTGCCGTGGGTTTTTGCTCATCGCGTAAGCGGTCTTTACTTAGGGAACTCTAACGGGAGGTCACAATTCTTAAAATCATCATAACCTTGCCAAGGAGGATACTGAGTTTTGGAATGCTTCGGGACTCTGATCGAAGGAAAATCGGCATGGCAAATTAATTAGAAGAAACTTATGGAAATTCGGGACGGTATAAAGACATTTATATGCCACATGCAAAACCAGAATTAAAAAAAGCCTTTAATACCACATGTTCCGAAACAGTTATTATCTTTCTGTTACCTTCGCAGCAATCTTTTATTATTAATCCTACTAAAGTTGAACGGGACAAAACGTTTAACGGGCTGGCTCAGACGAGCACGCCGGTGCGTCAGATGGAAACATAAGGGACCGCGTTGATAGTTTACCATGCCAGCTTGTTAATTCCTGGGGGGGGGGGAGATTTGAAATCGATGTTAGAAGTCCAACTTCCAACCAGTTTTCAACTGTATCTTGCATTACTGCTGTGGTACAATGCCCATGAACAAGCGTTACGCACGCGTTACATTCGCGTTACATTCCTCCTCTCCAATGGGGTGACATGATTTGCCAAATGCGCATGCGCGTGAGCCTGCGCAGGTCCTTCTCCGTTTGTCTCTCCAGATTTGTCCACAGAGGAAGTTATTTAACCCACGCGTATAGATTGACCCCGCAATCAAGAACTTGCTCATGACTGTTCCACAGTGTTTGGTTTGGGATGGGGGAAGGGGAGGTCAGTCTTTGTGGCGTTTGAGAAAATCCCTCTCGAACAGTCCTGGACTCCTCTTGATTTCATGCCCGGTTTGCCAGATTGCGAAATGTTAGCAAGTGTTGTATTGATAAAACCCACTTGACTTATCGTGTCAAGTGGTACAGATAGCCGTTGTATCTACAATTTCTGCTTGCCACAAGCTCTCGAGTTAGTTTTAAAGGTCAGACATTATTTGAGAAGAAACACCAAAACTGAGTTGAGTTTTCATGTTGTTTTAAAAGGGATTCAAGCTGAGAGATGTTACGATTCGTTGTTCGAAGCTACCGATTGCATAAATTATCGAGTAGGCTGATAAAAATGTGGACATATCGTTTTTTAGCTTTGATGTTACCGTTTACCTCAAGGTCAACCAAATATAGAACATGCAAATGAATATTCTTTAGATTCGCAAGTAAATGAAAATCTATCGTTTTTGACGTAATTACAAACAACCACATAAGTAAATAAGGACGAGTGTTACTAACCAAACCTTAACTTTTGTACTTTGGAATTTTTGTTCCCTTAGATTTCGATTTTATCGATATACAGGCATGAAGCCAGAGTTTTGTTTTATGAATCTTGATTTTACATTTATTATTCCTTTAACGCTTCGATGTTGTCCTTTTACAGTCTCCCCATGTTGTTGTTTATTTGTATAACCCGTTGCATTTGCACCCCCTTTGGACGCTACTAGTATACTGAGCCAATGGATTTTTCATCTTGCAGTCGTATCCAGTTATCCCCATCAGTCGCTAAAATTGCTTTGGGATAAGTCTTACGACTAAAAATAACAAGGAACGTACAGCTCTGTAAATAATTTCATTGTATATGCCTACCAACACTAAGAGGTTCTTTGGACCTGACATCGACAGTTTGCACGGCAACGCTAATCAACTTCGCATTAAGCTCAAAGAGCGTTTCTCTTCAGACGATTTGTAATGTTGCCAAAGCTCCAAAGTTCCGTATTTATCTGATAGGAAAGGTAATATAGAGACAAGCAAATGCCATTTAATGTTCGCATAAAAGTGCCGTCTTGAACCAAGAGGACCTTTTAAGTGTAATTAAAGGTAAAGTACTCTGGAAAAGTAATAAACAGAGAAAATAATTGGTAGGGCCTATAAATCAGTTATACGAAAGGAATGCACTGTGTGCGAGATTCTTTAAATCATTATTTAGTAATATGTTACCTGAGTGTTTATTTCATCACTTTGAATTAAGGTGACCAGACAGGGTCAAAGTCGGTGTTCTGTGAGTTAGAGGGGTAATTTTAACCTGGTCGTGAAAATCTTTGTTACAGTCAATATGATGTATTGATAACATTCATAATATTGATAAACGGAAAAACTCATGAAAAGTTATAGGCCTATATCAGAAAATGAATAAGAATGAAAAGAGGTTGGCATAAGTTTTAGTCATTATGGTGGGATTGTCCAAAGAACTGACCCTGATTTCCGACCGTGGACTGTCACTTTTTGTTTCAATATGTCATTTATAACTTATTCATGCAAAAGTTCAAAGGAAAGTCCAAAGGTCAAACTAAAAAGTTGTTATTCTGGTACAATTGTTTTGTGTGTATATTTTTTTGTCTCTCCAGCTCCAGATGTTCAGAACTTCATTTTTTTCCACTGTAGTATTAATTTTTTTTTTTTACTCTGAGAAGGAAATGGCACCTGAGAATTTGATCGGTCGTTATGACGTCATGAATGCTGAACAAGTCTGCTTTCCCCCAGTGATTCTTAACTTAATAGATTTGGGTTGAAAGAAAAACGTTCCCCAATCTGTGCCACTAGAAAATTCACATATTCACTCAGGTTCAGTCAATCGGAAGCGCAGTCAACCACCACGGAGCAACTGCGAGTCAGAGGGCGCTTTTCATTTAGAATAGTCAAGATTGAAAAGGCGAAACTTCAAAATATGTACGCTTGGGACCCTTCTTCGGAATAAGTTGCTAAGTTTTAATTTCATTTAATAGTATTTAATCAAGAAATTGCATTTTAGAATACTAATATGTGATAACTAATCCAAATGTATTCATAATTTAATTAAATGAGTTGAATTTAGAGATTATAAACCAGACAAGTA